TAAGGTGTATTAATAATAATTTTACAAATATTAGGGGACGGGTTACTGACACCAAAACAAGGTAAGATGTCCAAATGAACATGTCCAAAATGCCATCGTTGTATCTCCACAGAGAATGTTCAAAATGACTTCCGATTGCTTCTACACACGCATGCATCTGATCAGTGACTGGTGGAGTCACGTTGTCGAATGGTTCCGCAGGCCCCTATGACACGCTGATGAAGCGTCTCTGCATTAATTATGTTTGCTGTATAAAATAATTGTTTTTAGGTCGCCTCAGAGATCGAGATCGGGGAACGTGCAGGCTATGTAACGGGTCCTCCCCTACCTATCCAAAGTCTCATGTTAGATGCCAGTCAGTGTATCACGAACAATGTGACTAACATGTGCTACAGCCCCTATCATGCATGAAGCACAAGTGCCTTGGTATCCTCTATTAGGTCTGGAAGTGTGTTCCCTGTAGACAGCTCCTGTACGACTTACTGGGGGAACAAATAAACCTACCAGAGAGTCACCTATAATTTCTGCCCAGCCATTAATCGTGTGTATGTATTTAGGCAGCATATTTTCATACAAGAAGGTTTGGTTAAATAATTTAGACGTACTATGTCTTTTTTAGTTTTAATAATTTCAAGTCCACGAATTCATTTGTTGGTGACTCTAGAATATAAAAAGTAAAATACCTGAATTTTTTCCAAATAATTTTTATTTTCCCAAGTACTTTCCAGCTCATCTGAGACCATCTTCAGGGGGTCAAAATTTTGGTATTTTTCTTGATAAATTTTTAGCAGCCACCAAGAAATTAATTTGTGGATTTGAGAGGATTAAAACTAAAATAAAGACATTTTAGGATTAAAACTAAAATAGACATAATACGTCTAAATTATTTAACTAAAGCTGCTTGAATTAATATATATATATATATATATATGTAAAATGTAAAATGTTTCACTATTATTATAGTTTCACCAGAGAATGAGAACAATTATACACTAACATACATGAAGAAGTATTTAAGCTTTGAGATAGTATTAGCAACCGTTTGGAATTTTATGGAACTTCGATAGATTGAGTTTTATATTTCTTTTTTATGCTTATTGACATATAAAAAAAACTGACATTGTACGGGCATTAGATTCTGAGGTGTACGAATAATGTCGTTATTGACATTATATATATATATATATATATATATATATATATATATATATGAGAGGGAGAGAGAGTGAGAGAAAGAGAGACAGATAGAGAGAGAGAGTGTGTGTATGTGTATGTATGTGTGTGTGTGGAGGCACGGTGAAGTAATGGATAGCGTCTTGGATTGAGGAATCGGAGAGCCGAGCTCGAATTCCCAGTCGAATCCATTACATTCACTTATGTGCTAATACCATTGGGAAAAGGTATGAATCCTCTCTTTCTCACTCCAGAACAAACAGATATGGCCTTGGATAGCAACTAGTCTAGGAGAAGGACAAATCTGAATTCAAAACCTACGGAAAGGTCGTTTGGGGAACCTGTGGCACGCAGTGTAACAGGTCTCTGTACTTGGCCCTTCAAAAAGTGTGGATGGTTCAGCACAAAACCTTCACCACTATAATCTAAACTCATGTGCTGGTTTCGGACTGTCAGTTTCCTAGGAACTGATCTACTTGACCCTCATACTTCGAATTAGACAGGAGAGTCAGTATATATATATATATATATATATATATATATATATATATATATATATATATATATATATATAAATATAAATATTTTTTTTCACACCAGTAGTACAATGATTGCATTATGGAGGAAAATCAGAGTTGTTCTACCGATGAGTAAAAAAAAAATATCTTTATTATTAATATAAATTATAACACTGTTATTCTACATCGATCACTGTTTTATTAGCACCAACACCCAATCTGCGATATTATTTATATATATATATATATATATATATATATATATATATATATATATATATATATATATGTGAAAATATATAGAAAATAGGAAGGAACTGGTTAGGTTAATAATCCAAAGTCCCTTAGTATTTTAGTTATTATTTTTTAAAAATAGTGCTCGATACAAAAGTAGAGCATAAATATAATTATTTATTTAAATAAATAATTATATATATATATATATATATATATATATATATATATATATATATATATATATATATATATATATATATACATACATACATAAAATGGAATATATACAGCCTTTTTTTATATATATATATATATATATATATATATATATAATCATCTGTCAATTTCAAGACCTATGGAGATGTAACAATATAGTTTATAACCGAACCACCTTCTATTACCTATAATTTTGGGGAGGCGGTGTAATGGTGAGCAAGCTTGTTTCGCTAGAACAATTACAACTGAGTAATGAGTTCGATCCTCACTGGGCACCTCATACTTTCGGCCTTGTGCCACATCTAAGCTACGCTTGTAAAATCACTATTACCTATAATTTCTTCCTAGTGAAGGCTGCTATCGAACCAGCCAGAATTTTCGAAATGTTTAATATTAGAAAATGGTACACAGTTTGCAAGGAAGCGTCTAAAGGAGGATCTCTTTGAATCCCAGTTGAGAGATTTTTTTATTTCTTCTTGAGTAGATGAGAGAGTTCCGGTATGCCAAAATGAGAGAATTCCGATATACACTGCTATTTACGTCATAGCTGAGAATTGATGTCTTCTTACCTAATAGGTAGCAATATATATATGTGTGTGTGTGTGTGTGTGTGTGTGTGTGTGTGTGTTAATTACATCTTGTCAGCAAAACGCCACTTCATCATCCATCACCACACGACAATGTGCACGCCTATGACTTTTCATCGCAGCCTCTGTCTTGCGTGATGTGACTGTTGAACTGTCCATCTTTCGAGACATTTTTCTTTTATTTTTGTACTAATTTTCACCCAATACAAAGCGCAAGAGCCAGTCAAGATAGAGGAGTTGTATATGAGACTGTTTTAAAGACGTATTGAGAATGAGAAAGAGATTTATATTATAAAGATATGTAGGAGAAAATACAGTTGACGTTCGACTTGAAGAGATCCACTGAGGAACATAGGTTTGATCTCTTGAAAATGTAGGTCATTGGACTGTAGTGTAGGTTATGGAAAACTGGTATCTACATTTTGGATATTTGGTTTGGGCTTCACTGTGTTTGATAGATTTACTCTTATTTTAATCGGGAAATTAATTAGAGAAACATCAACATCCTAAATAGTACATAGTAAAAAAAGAAAAAAAAAACTAACTGGATTAATTGACAGAAACAACGCCGTAATTATTCCCTGCATTATGGTATCGAGAGACTCCACCAGAGACTACACTACTGCGCAATCTAGATCTCATTCCGCGCCGGTACTGTTGATAGGATGGCCTCTTTAGGCGTTATTCTAAGGTTTGTATGCCTTACAATAAGGTGGATAACGCCAGCTCAGAGAAGCGTTTTCTAGAGAACCTGCGAAAAGACCGGAAATCCAGGAAAGTCAATACGAAGCCGGCAGATATTTGCTTAGGTAATAATCCAAATGAGTCAGCGTGCTTTAAAGGCAAAATAGAACATTGATTTATTGTGACACGCTTCGAAGCCGAACGGTAAAACACGCCGGAACAGACGGTGGTTTGCCTTGCTAAGCGGGCGGGGGCGAAAGTTCTTACCCTGCCAGTGGATTCATTTTCTTTATTATGTCTTATGAAGTGGGATCTAGTGTTTTATCGTTTATCTCGTATAACGAAAGATGCCGTAATCTTATCCAGTAAAAATAACATTTAAAACAATAAAAATAATCCGGATTAAAAAAAATAAACCTACTAACTCCTTAGAACTACATGCCTATCTACCTACCTACCTATATATATATATATATATATATATATATGATTAACGTGAGTAAATGTTTCTCATTTAGTTGATTGATGTTACTTTCAGGATCCCGAACACAGAATTTCCTAATAGGACATGTCCGTCCAATCATCAGGGACTATCAGCAAGTATATATATATATATATATATATATATATATATATATATATATATGTGTGTGTGTGTGTGTGTGTGTGTGTGTGCATGAAATGTATCTATTTTATTTACGTATATGCATATGCAAGTTTTATTAAAAACGACTGCCAATGTGTTGTGGTTAATATATATATATATATATATATATATATATATATATATATATATATATATATATTATAAGTTTTCATGTAAGTAATTTATATATGAAATAAGAGTTATGGGAAAGTTTTATTTTACAAACACGGTTAGTACATTGTGGCCGTGTTAATATTTGGCTTCATAACTAACACTGTATAATATCGTGTAGACACCAACGGAATTATGTATAAATAAACACTTTCTTGTCGCTTGTCGTCATATCTGATAAGCTAATTTATTTTATTTCCCCTCTTATCCTTGAATATCCGAACGCATTTTCCTTACACACAGTTTTGTCTTTCATTCCACACTGAAGAAGCCGAAAGCTAATAAATGATGTCAGACAAACGCGTTGTTAAAAAAAACAATTTCCATTTCCCCCATTATATATATATATATATATATATATATATATATATATATATATATATATATATATGAAAGATGTCAAAAGGAAAACTTTTCTTAGCCGACGCGTTTCGTCCTCTGTGTGACTTTATAAACTCAATGGACGAAACACGTCGGGTAAGATAAGTTTATAAGTTTTCCTTTTGTCATTTTTCTTTTTCATATTGTCCTTTTACAGATATGCTCTGTCTGAAATTTTTACATACAGACACGCAAAAACATATGTCTTTACATATATATATATATATATATATATATATATATATATATATATATATATATATATATATATGTGTGTGTGTTTGTGTTAAATACCACGTGTGTTCATATCTATCTATCTATCTATCTATCTATCTATCTATCTATCTATCTATCTATCTATCTATCTATGTTCATATCTATCTACCTATGTTCATTATCTATCTATCTATCTATCTATCTATCTATCTATCTATCTATCTATCTATCTATCTGTCTGTCTGTCTTAGTCTGTTCATATCTATTTATCTGTCTCAATCTGTTCATACCTAGTCTATCATACCTGTCTATCTAGTCTTTACATTATCTATCTATCTATCTATCTATCTATCTATCTATCTATCTATCTATCTTAGTCTGTTCCTATCTATCTATCTGTCTCAATCTGTTCATACCTATATGTCTATCTAGTCTGAACATATCTATCTATCTATCTATCTATCTATCTATCTATCTGCTTATATCTATCTATCAGACAGGACTGGAATCACCACGGCATGTGAATTTTCATCTCTCTTCGGGTGGGTAGCACTAACAATAAAACCATGTAGTGTTACGATGTTTGCATGGCAGTAGATTGCGTTACTGTGCAGAAATTGTTTACTAACTGCTCTGGGCCAACAATGATAAATGCTAACCGCGTCTTTCTTGACGTCAGAAAGAAGAAGATCATGTTTAATAACAACAGAACTGCAAAAGAAATTACTTGGGACTAGCGCATTATGATAAAGACGCGGGAGGCAGACACGAACGTGTGCCGCTCACGCATGCAGCGGACTCCGCCTAATTGGGTCAACTTTTAATCTTGGCACCCTTTCATTTGTGGCGATTCTTCAAAGCCCCCCCCCTCTCACAAAAAATCTTTTTTTCAGTATTATCTAACTAATATAAGGCTCGAAAATAACTCAAGGTAGAGTGTTACTAGATGAGATAGTTGTAAGAGGGGAAGTAAGAGTAGATTATGAGCATAAGTAGGATATATAACGTCTGACTCTAGACTTAAAGTTGATGTGATTGTAGCAATATGGTAAACGTCCTCTTGAAAGTAGCGGTTCTTGGAGAAAATAAGTTACCCGAGTGAAATTACCTTCTTACTAATGAGATACAAACGGATTCAACCCAGCAGACGCAGCATGGGTGGGCTTAGCTGTAAAGGTCTGAACTCGCAGAAATAATGAATGTAGTTTGTCAGATCTTTTTTGCCATAGGAATAGCAATCCACTATCGAGAAGCTTGCATCATCACGACTGCTCGAAAAGGGTGTAGAATGGGAAAAAAATCATTACCCACACAGCCGTGCGAACATTGTATTCATATGTTTAATCTCCACTATATAAATCGTAGTTGATACAGCTGTAGTCTAAACTAAACAGGCCTTTGGGCTAAGATCTGTATTCATTGAATATTAGCCCAGTGCCTCTCCATCTGGAGGCCGTGGGCTAAGTTTATTGCGCGGCGCCTGAGGCGTCCCCAAAAGCGGAAGTGCTAAGGCGGCTTGGGAATGTTTGCGCTCCGTGGCCGATAGACAAACGTTAACTATTGACCTTGTGTCGCATCCGGTTGCGACGTGGACGAACTATTGAATTCTTGACCTTGAAGACTATTCTACAAGAGAAATAGTAGTGAATACTTGTAACTAATTATAGTTTACAATAAACAGTTGAGGATTGGAAAGTGAGGATTGGACAATTTCAGTGCAGATATTTTTTTTTCTGACTTGATTCTCGTAAAGATAGAGTGTAATAAGAGGAATCAGATACTTTCTGGCGCTATACAATCAACTGATCATTTTTACCAGCATCTTTAGAAATGGGTCGTATTTATTTTGTCTGGTCTGATTCACATAAATATAAAACACAGAGCATGGCTAGTGGAGCCAGAATCTTTACCGGCCAATGCAATCAACCGACCATTTTCACCAGAATCCTCAGCAATGGCTCATTTGTTTTTTTGTCTGATCCGACTCTTGTAAAGACAGAGCATGGCAAGAGGAGTGAGATATATTATGGGGCAATACAATCTACCGATCATTTTTACCAGCATCTTTAGCAATGAGTCGCATTTATGAGTTCAACTTGAAGTCTGAGGTGAATTTTAGCCTCAATAAACGTTCAAGGTAACGAGCCTCCCTTAGAGAAAAGCCATTCATGACGATAGCATGGTTACTGAAATGGAAAGAAGTTTCATTTTTAATTCGCCAAAACTGTCCAAAACGGCATTTCACGCACATTTTCTGTTTCAATAAAATTCGTTTAGAAAATCCTTCACTTATGGTTAAGGGAAATGATAATAATGGCCGACTGATCGTTTCCGTATATAAATCATTCAAGGCTGGCTTTCTAATCCCTGATGCAGACACCTGTTGAGGCACATATGTGTTTTCAAAATCCAAAATACCAAACTATGATTTATACTGTAACTATGCTCAGCGACCCTAGCTACATTTTCTCGGAGAGCGTTCACGAATTGGCGTAATCAATAATTTTAACAAGGCCCCTGCTCTCGAAACAATCGGTTACGAAAACATGTGATTCGTGCTAGAACAACCATTAGCAGTTTACGAACAGTTTCATCTATCGAATGTCCCTCCGAGTGACTGACTTAAGCCCTGGCAGGTTTTTCAGACAATATCCAACACGTAATCAATTCACATTATTCACTAATTGAACATACAGGATGTGATGAGTAAAATTTCGCCATTTTATATACTTTTAATTTCGCGCATGCGCGTTGCTTTTTTATTTTATTTTGTCCCCTGCACAGTATAGAAGGGTCAGTTGTATACCGTCTGTGAGAAAAACGGAACCAAGTCGCAATTCCCTCCGCCAGAAATTTGCAATTTGTTGTACTGCTTGGCATTCGCACCGAAAGCTCCAATGCGTTTCAGAATGTTTAGGTGTCAATTTGAGGACAGTGCAGTTGGATTCAGGAAGATTTGGATGAGTCTAATGTTGATTACGAAGGTGTTTGGAGGGAACACTAGTGATGGCGATGTTATGCCTCCATTCATCTTCCCACTGACTTAGTCTCAACATGTCGTGGTATGTATTATTATTATTATTGTTTGTGAACTTACAATGTCCGTCACGTGACCCACTTGATACCTGGAGGTACACTGACCATGGGGAGCTTTCACCCATACTCTGTTCCCAACTTTGTATATATCGTGATTCTTACAACGACAGGTAGTAATGTAGTAATTCCCTTCACTTTCAGTTGGTAATGGTGAATCATATTCGCAGGCGTATTAGTCGACGATATATCATCTTTCGGCATGATATTATGCCAGTATACTACCTCCGGTATCGAACACGGCTTTCTTCCTGCAATTCGCTTTATGCTCCGATGAGATCTTTCCATTATACCGTTTCCTGCAGGGACATAAGCGCAGCGAAAATGAAGTTGGACTCCCCAGTCATCCAAGAAATCTTTAAAGCACTTACTGCGAAATGCACTATTATTGTCGGTCAGGATTTCTGATGGTGGGCCTCGTTCAAAAAAATATTTTCCAACTGTCGAATGATGCTTCTTGAGTCTTGTTGAAGCAAGCGTCGCCGAATCGCAAATCGACTGGGGCCGCAGTCAATTAACGTAAGGTAGTGTTTCCCACCGTAATGCATAATATCCATTCCTAAATGGGTCCAGATTTCAGTCACACTTAGGTTGCCACAAGGCCAACAACTTAAGGCTGAGTCAGTTGACTGGCATTCTTTACATCAAGTACCTTGAGAAAGTAGTCCCGCCTTGGGTCAACAGATTAGCTGCTGGTAGACCCTATGTTTGGCAACAGGACTATGAACGATGCCACGTAAGCAGGAGATCCTAATCTTGGCTGACAGGCAATTTCCGAGATCACTTCACCCCTTACATCTGGTCACCTAATTGCAACCCCCTTGATTATTACACGTGGGGTGCAGTTGAGCAAGAGACAAAGAAATGTCCTTTTAACAATGAACTAAAAAGCAGCATTCACCTACTTAAAAAAGAGACCGCCCAGACAGTGGCGTAGCTGCGGACTGTGAGGTTTACTCTAGCTACGCCACTGCGCCCAGAAGAGGCGCTGGATAACCGAAGTCGTTTGGAGGCCGTGGTTGAAGCCAATGTCGATATTTTTGTGTAATTTTGGTAAATATATCTTTTAAAAGGTTATATGTCAGTGTTATTTTCACCGTGGTCTAAATTAGACGTAAATTTATACATCGCACCCTGTAGTGGGCTTCGAACCCGACTTTCATCATCCTAACGCTAGTATTTTAAAAACCATCCCGGCACATAGCTATCAGTGTAGAAAGCAACAAAAACAAAGAAATATTGAGACAGACGGTAACGAACAAAAATACATGAGTCTACTCCCGAATGTACGAGACTTGGCATAAACATTGACAATACCGTCCAAAGAATTTGTCGCTGGGTCTATATTTATTGTTTTTCCTTTTCTCATTCTTCTTCTAGCTCTTTTTTCTGCTATCTATATCGGTCTCTCTTTATCGCCTCTTCTTTATTACTCCCTTTCTTTATCTCAATTTTCTATTTCTCTTTTTCTATCTCTCTTTATCGCTTTGTCTCTTTTTCTTTGTTTTTTCTTTACCATCTCTCTTTCTTTTTCTATCTCTTTTTTTTCGCTACTTATATCATTGTCTCTTTATTTCCTTTCCTCTATTATTCTCTTTCTTTCTTTCTTTCTTTCTTTCTTTTTCGTTTTTCTATTTTTATACCTCTCTCTATCCCTATATGTGTTTTTCTTTATTTTTATTTTCCCTCTTCTCTTTCTTTTTTTTCTTTTTTTCTATGTATATCATTCTCTTCGTTTCGTTTCCTTTATTTCTCCTTCTCTCTTTGATATTATTTGGCTATTTCTTTTCGTCTCTTTTTCTCTATTGTTCTTGTCCCTTTACTCTTTCTTTATCTATTTCTTTTTCTCTCTCTCTTTCTTTCTTTCTTTCTTTCTTTCTTTCTTTCTTTCTTTCTTATATCTTTTTGTTCCCTTTCCTGTATTACTTTCTTTCTCTCTCCCATTTGCCATGTTTTGTATCTCTCTAGATCTGTACCTCTTTTTCTTTGTTTTCTCTTTTCCTTTCTTTCTTTCTTTTCCTATTTTTTTCTATTTATATCATTCTCTCTTTTTAAACGTGCATCTAGGGCTCTCTTCTCGCCACCCTACGTATTTTGTCATCATTAAGTCTCTCTTTCTTTACTTCACCTTACCTTTCTTTCTTTCTTTCTTTCTTTCTTTCTTTGTTATTCTTTCACGTTCTTTATTTTTCTACTTCTGTTGAAATTAATGGGGCGTTGTTTTATTTAATGAGGATGGAGGGCTTGGAAAATCTGAGACTCACAGCACAGATTAATGGGAAAGACGGCCAGAGGAAAACAACGCATACCTTACATGATGGATTCAAAAAGATGGTAGAACAGTAGTTAGGAGAATTAGCAAACAACTACAAAGGATAGGAAGATATGGAGGGTCATGATCATCTACATCCAGAAGGAACCCAGCAGCTAAAGAAGAAGAAGACATATATGTATAAGTCTTTGGATGCTGGACACTTCGACATAGTGTCATGTTTAGCAACCTTGTATCACTAGATTAATTACGATTAAACAGTGAGTTCTATCCGGGGACGTCCATACTTTCGGCATTTTGTCACATCTAGGCAACACTCAGTAAATTACTCAATGGGTGCAACATCGAATCTATGTTTAGTAAATTGCTGTATATCTCGATGCCCTTCTCTCTTTGGTCTTCTTACTTTTATTTTTTTCTTGGTTTATTTCTCTCTCTTCATATATATATATATATATATATATATATATATATATATATATTATTATTATTATTATTATTATTTATTAATAGAAATCTTATAAGTATAAGAAACTATACTCGTTCGGAAAACCTTCGGGTCTTGATTTGCAAATAATCAAACCAATGCCAAAGAGGAAAAGGAGGTATGAAAAAAAAGAAAAGAACCAAGAATATGTACGTTAGCCGAAAATAATTGTCTAGCGTACAAGTCCAAGTCCCAGAAAAAAAAAAACCGATACCAGTACGTAAAATAACTAAATAAAGTGCTCAATACAATGAGTAGAGCAGACCTTCCCTGACGATCCGCTTAGGTGAAACCTTGGTACGTTTGTCCGGATCTCTAGGTTTAACTATATATATATATATATATATATATATATATATTATAAATTAATTTATTTAAAATATGTTTTTTCGCTACACAGTTCTAAGCATGTTTCAAAAATTTTTGAAACATGGTTAGAATTCACGTAGCAAAAAAACATTAAATCAATTAATTTATAATATTAATGCTCTGTAAATTTACATTGTAAATTTTTTGTAAAAATATCTATAAGAACACCGGGTTATATATCTTACTGTTCTTTATATATATATATATATATATATATATATGGGGGGTGAATTACAATGAACGAGATCCAAATGATTTACCTCATACAGATGATCATTTCGTCCATACAAAAGTAGTTTTTCCCTGGATTTATCGATACAAATATATTTACTAACACATCTGTATGAGGTAATTTGCTTGATTCTCATTAATTGTAATTCACTTCTATGCTCTATAATAAAAAATATATTGATCTCTCTTTTGTGGATCAGTTTTAATATTTTATATTAATAGGATCTACTTGGATTACTTAACTACGGATTTTTTTTAACTATATATATACAGTGTATCACAAGAGTGAGTCCACCCCTCATATTTCTTCAAATATTTAAGTATATCTCTTCATGGGACAACACTGACAAAATGACACTTTGACACAATGAAAAGTAGCCTGTCTGCTGCATATATAACAGAGTTAATTTCTTTTCCCCTCAAAATAACTCAAAATATAGTCATTAAATGCTAAATCCCTGGCAACAAAAGTGAGTACACCCCTAAACTACACCCCTAAAAAGTGAGTACACCCCTAAAAAAAATACACCCTAAATGTCTAAACTGAGTATATATATATATATATATATATATATATATATATATATATATATATATGTATGTGTGTGTGTGTAGTTCCACTAAAAAAGCAGAAAATCAACGATGCCTAAGGGTTAAAAGGAATTTTTTAAAAATGAAAAATCTTTCTTGAAGCTTTTACTTTAGTTTTAATTTCAATTTAATAGATTAAATTTAAAATTTTCCAATTAGTAAAATACTTTGCTGTATTTCAAAAACTAATTAAAACATTAACATTTAAATTGACTGGTAGGATTTTGTTTTCGCTAAAATAGCTGATTCTTACCCCTTTTTAGCCCTCAATCATCGCTATTTAGTTCCTTTTATTAAAAACCTTCAGAAATAGAATATTCTTCTCTGAAAGTTTATTTGAGGAATATTTAAAATATAATTAATCAGATTAATGATTTAAAATATAATTAATCTGATTTGAAACAAATATTATTTACTTTAAGTTTAAAATATGGTAGAAATTAATTTTTTACCCGACAGTAGTTGTGTCTTTAATCGACATTAGCTATGGTTGATGTGTTCGACAAGGTGATGACAGGTCTAATGTTGTTCTACGGAGAATTTATCTGTAAAACATAATTGAAGAAAATGACATTAGCGCATTTTTATAGAATTTTTAAGTACTCAGAAATACTTCAAATTTAGAAAAATATTCACCGTAATCTAAAGTTTTATTGAATTTTTGAAAGTTTTGCTTTAAATTTACTATAGTCATCGCTCTTATTTTCTGATAATGCCGTATATGGTCACCCGTATTCACAAAAACCGGCACATTTATGCACTATAAAAAACAAATAAAAAATTAAACCAATTCCATATCACATTTAAAATATTGGTGTTTGATGATTTCTGTTAAGCTTTTTAATTTATGATTAGTAAATATAATTTAGTTGGTGGAGTAATGGATAGCATCTAGGTTTGAGGAATCGGAGGTCCGAGTTCGAATTTCAGTCGAATCCATTACATTCACTTACGTGATAATACCCTTGGGAAAGTTATGAAACCTCTTCTTCTCTCCCTCGGTTATGGGTAAATAGCAGCACAAACCGGGTTCTATAGCCTTGGATGGCAACTGGTCTACCGCAGAAAGAAATGGCAACCTACTGCAGGAAAAAAATCTGCCACGTCAGTCATGTATTACGCATGGCACATAAAGGAATGAAATATAATTTTCACTTAATAATAATATAATCAAAAACGGATGTAATTTTAAAAGATTTAAAATTTAATTTTTTCTAATTAAAATTTATAGGAAATGAAAGCAACACTTGTAAAGATTCATCGACAAAATGTTTTTTTCTCAAGATAATTGTTTCCTTCATATATCACATTTTTAAAAGAAATTAATCGCTTTTTTAATTAAATATTGGATTAGATTTTTTAAAATATTTTATTTTGCGATTCAGAACAGGATTTCCATAGATGGTAATACTGTGTGACAAAATTCTCCAAGCCTTGAGATGTAAATTCTCCAAGGAATCTTGCTTTTAACTAATATAAATACGAATATCCTGAAATTTTAATTTCTCGAAATTTCATAAAATTACAGATGTAAAAGGAAAATATTTTTGCCGACATTTTCTACTATGTAATATTTTAAAAAACTAATTTATTTGTGAATAAGTCCTGAAAATTTAATTAAAATCCAACAGTTATTTGATTTTTGCAAGAATTTCCCAAGAAGGTGATACATTTCCCTATACCTATCTTTGGTGTACAGATGACGCAAGAAAAACATGATTTTTAACCAAAATTTCGAACGTGCTAAAAAGGATTAAAAAAAATATATATACAATGATAAAAACAAATTTTGGTCTTTCCTCTTAATAATAGTATAAACATTTTGACGATAAAACTTTGTTTTTATTATATTTGGGGCTTTTTTCATCATGGCATACTCTTTTTTAGCGAATTATTAAAGGCAGCTACTTTTTAAATATTATTCTCCTCATCTCCCGCCTTCTCTTTTTCTACCTGTATTTCTCTATATCACTTTTCTTCATTTTTTACTGCATTCCCCTTTCTCCCTATACACACAATCTCTCTCTCTCTCTCTCTCTATATATATATATATATATATATATATATATATATATATATATATATATATATATATATATATATTTATAACATATATATATATATATATAGAGAGAGAAAAGATATATATATCTTTCTTTCTTTCTCTCTCTCTATCTATCTATCTATCTATCTCTCTCTCTCTCTCTATATATATATATATATATATATATATATTATTTATTTAAAATATGATTCCAACTCGCGACATAAGAGGTCTCATGTTTCAAAACAAGAGCCAAAAACTTCACTATAATTATTTGAATTAAATTGAGTTAAAGTAAGCTCTGTTCCATCTTCAAGCGAAATTTTTTTGGAATAACGTATTTCTGAAATTTACGTGTTTTATATTTATGCTCTACTTTTGTATCGAGCACTATTTTTAAAATAATAACTAAAATACTAAAGAACTTTGGATTATTTACCTAACCAGTTCTTTCCTATTTTCTATATATTTTCACACACACACACACACACACACACACACACACACATATATATATATATATATATATATATATTTTTCTTTCTCTCCCCCTTGTATTTTCCTTCTATTATTCTGCTAATGTTTTACTCCTGTTATTTTAGGAATACATGAAAACTACATGTGACAACAGGCTGTGCAATAACGCGTCTGGCGACGACTGACAAGGTTTGTTATCAGCCAATGAAGAGGAACATTCCAACCTATAATCCATGCAGGTACACTCAGCAAACCCAAATAATTTATGGACAACCATGGAACAAGTATAGATAGATATACAGAGACTACAACTCCAGCACCTTGTCCAGTCCATGTCATGTCACGTAGACATTATTCACGTATCTGTCGGGTTGGGTTGGTTGATTTAATGACATGTCAACCCCCATAGGCCAATTGAATGTCAAAACCAGTTATTTATTTATTTATTATTATTATTATTATTTCAGTATTTAAAATTTATTTGGGTCGGGAATAGGTAAACATTGGTCGCTTATAATATGAGTCAGTAAGCATTTGATTCGTTTGTTGGTAGGTAAATAGTAGTTGTTTATATTTGCGTCTATAAGGATTTACATGATTAGGTGAGGGGCAAATATTAGTAGTTTATATTCAGGTACCGCTAAATAAAATTGATAGCCTTGATGGCTTAAAATGAATTTAAAAAAATTAAAAGTCTTTCTTGAAGCTTTTATTTTAGTTTTAATTTTAAGCT